TAATCTCAAGTTGTAAATTGGCTTAAGTGGTTTAAAAGCCTCTTATGTACATAGTTTTTAAACATCAGCATCAATACTTACTGTTGAGATGGCGATAAATGCCACTGTTAGGGTGGCGAGAAAAAAAAAAAACTATTTTGGCTAGGTAATCAGACCTCCTAATATAACTCTATAGGAGATTTGGGGTAAAGGGTATCCCTAAATAGGAGAGTCTGAGTAAACGAAAAATATATCTGGTAGACTGCCAAAAATAGTTTACCCTTCCAAAAAACTGCAACCCTTGGGGAAAAGAAAAGGGAGTAATAAAACAGCAGTGATACTAAAGAAAAGTCATCCACAGTAACAGAAGAGTCTGCGGGACACGTGTTTCGGTGAAGTCTTTCGCCTTTTTCAAGAGCGCCTCTTCTTAAACCCACATTCAAGTACCTCCCCTCGCCTGACATATCAATTACGCCAGTCAAATTCTTAGGGGCATGTCTAGTGGGGCAAGAGGCGTGTTCCGATATCGGCTCGGGAAGAAATTAACTCCCAAATAGCCGAAGTGATTAAAAAAACATAAGTAATAATGTAACCTCAAGAGGAAATGATAAATGGATATAACATAGTTCAAAATAAGTGTTTGATCAAAGGGAAAGGTTCCCAATGGTTTAAATAGATATTTAATCTGTATAGATGCCACAAAGGGCTAAAGGTACTAAATATTTACATTAGAGAGATACAGTAACGATTAATAATATATTCAGATGATACATATATAGTGGTGCAGACTTGTCTAATACAAATAGAGTATAAAGGATATTGCCAACAATAAGGAATTGTTCAGTGGACCATACGACACATCAAAGGATAATCTTAGTTTGCAAATGGTTAAGTGTTAACCAGTACAGCCAGAAATAAGTACATGAACAATCCAAGAGATGGAAGTTAACCCATACCCATAGTTGATATAGTACTCAGTTTTCAAAATTGTGAATTTCCAAGTTGGATATGGTTAGTGGTCATTATTGTAAATAGGAAAAGATTAAAAACATAAAAACACAAAACAAAACGGAAGATTGCTGGATCATAGAAAGCAATGAAATTAAATTAATGAGATTAAATTAAATTAAGTCAGATCAAATAGAGGGGGCGAACGAAAAGCCTTCATTTAGACCTTTGGGTTGAAGGGTTTTTAATCGATAGATCCAGAAGCTCTCTCTTTGTCTCAGGTATCTATCGTAGTCGCCTCTGCTTTTGTCTCTTCGTACAAATTCCAGACCACAGAACCGAAGTCCTTGTAAATTGCCTTAATGATTTTCTTTAAGGTGACGGGCAATAGGGGTTTCTGAGTTTGGTTGCTGAGTTTGGGAGACCTGACATGTTCTTTAATGCGTTCTTTGAATGGTCTAAACGTTTTACCTACATACAGTAGGTTGCATTGTTAATAAACTATACCTAATTACATGTTAATAAACTATACCTGTGGTATTACAGTTAAAGAAAGATTTGATGTTAAAGCTTTGTTTCCCGTCACTATCCATGACCCGTTTGGAGTCACGTTTTATATGTTTACATGCGACACAACATCCGCATTTGTAGGAGCCCATGATGGGCCTATTCAGCCAAGTATGTGTAGATGGACCTTAAGCTTGAAAGTGACTTGGAACAAGAAGATCCCTAAGGTTTCGGCCCCTACGTGCGGTAATCTCAATCCTAGGACCCAATATACGTTTCAAGTGTGTGTCCTCCAAAAGTACGGACCAGAATTTTTGTAAGCTATTTCTCATTGGGTCCCACCCAGCATCGTATGTAGCAATCATGCGTGGTGGGGCTTGGGAGTTTGTCAGTGTTTTAGGTTGATTAATGCACAATAATGAGTTCCTGTCTGTCTCCAGGGCTCTCCTATACGCCTTCTTTAAACATTTGTTGGGATAGCCCTTGTCCTTAAATTGTTGTCTTAAGATCTTTGCTTTAGACTTACAATTCTCTAGATCACTACAGTTCCTACGGATATGAAGGTATTGTCCGATAGGTATACCCTATTTTAGTGGTCTGGGATGAAAGCTTTCCCACAAAAGAAGGCTGTTTGAGGCTGTGGGTTTTTTGAAAAGTGAAGTCTGGATAGTTTGATTACTGATAGAGATTGTTATGTCTAAAAAGTTCAAAGAGGTACCTCCAAACTCCGAAGTGAAACGTAAGTTAAGTTTGTTCTCATTGAGGAGGGCTACAAATGCGCTAAATTCGTCAGATGAGCCTGTCCATAAAATCAAGATGTCATCAATGTATCTGGCCCAGAGATGTATCATGGGTTTATAGTGTGAAAATCGATCAGATGACACAATGACCTCGTCCCACCAACCCAGATGGAGGTTGGCATATGATGGGGCGCAAGCCGTCCCCATCGCAGTGCCCCGTATTTGGTGGTAGAACTTATTGTTGAAAAGAAAATAATTATGAGACAAAATGAATTTGAGCAGTTCCAGAGTAAATGTTCTATGTTCATGAAAATTGGGTCCCTTTTTGTCCAAATAATGTCGGACATGTTGGATACCCCCATCGTGGGCGATGGATGAGTAAAGGGCTTCTACATCCAGACTACAAAGTGATACTGACGCTGGTAATGTCAGGTTGGACAGGAGTGCCAGCATCTGCTTAGTGTCCTGAATAAAGGATGGTAGGGATTCCACATGGGTACGCAAGATCTTGTCCAAATAGATGCTTCCATTTTGGGTCAAGTTATCTACCCCAGATACGATTGGACGTCCGGGGGGGATTCACTTGACTCTTATGAATCTTGGGCAGGCAGTAGAAGGTAGCTATCCTCAGGTTCTTATTAAAGATGAAATCATATTCATCTTTGGATAGCACCCCTCCACTGTGGCCCATGTCCAAAATTAGTTTATAATCATACAGAAAAGTATTAGTAGGGTCCGACTTGAGTAGTTGATAAATGTCTTTATCCTCAAGTATTTTCAAAGCCATCCCTACATAGTCTGATGATTTCATGATGACTATGTTACCCCCCTTTGTCGGCAGGTTTAATCGTGATTGTACTATTGAGTCTCAAGGACTGAAGAGCTTTATTCTCTTGTTTGGTTAAATTCATGTTTGGATAAAGTTTCAAGTCCATATTTCTAATGTTTTCAATTTCAAATTTGACAGACTCTAGGAAGAATTCAATATTTTTAAAATTCCCTATGTTAGGTGTAAATCGGCTTTTGGGTTTCAAGTTTGTCTGACTCAAAGTAGTACTTGTATCATTTTCGTCTAAGAGGGATATCAAAGTCATTAAGCACTCATGGTCTTGATCAAGTAGTCCCAGATATTTAGTCCTTCTCTCTATTTTAAGTTGATGGTATTTACAAAGAGCTAGTTTCCTAGCGAACAAATGTAAGTCCTTAATCCAGGTAAATTTATTGTAAGCTGGAACAGGCACAAATGATAGGCCTTTTTGAAGGACCAAAGTTTTGTGAGTAGTAGTAGAGTGATCTGAAAGATTTACTATTTGTGTAGTATTCATTGGAAGCGTCTTTTCCTCTCCCCCCTCTGCCCCTGTTGCGAGTCTGATAGACTGATTGTCTGGGTGGGGGTTCGTCCTGTTCTAATTCTAAAAAATTCACTCCTGTTTTGAGAATACCCCTAGCGTTGTTTTGGTTAGATGTGTTAGGGATGGGAGTCAAAGGACGGGGCTGTGATGTTGACCGTCTATTATCAGTGTCAGATGAATCATAGTTTGAGGTCATGGTATTGTCAGAATTAGTTCTGGTTCTGCGTGTAAAAGTACTATACATATGACCAGTTTCGTAGTCACAAATAAATTTCTGATGTTTTCTAATTTTATATATATCTATTCCATCTTAAACCGAACATGAATTGTATTTTTAAAAATGTACAATAAGGGAATTTTAGTTGGTTCCGTTGATATAAAATAGTTATACAGCCTCATGGAAATTAATGAGCCATTCTGATGTTCTACTGTTAAAGAGAGACTATAGGCACCCACGCCGCTCAAGTTCATTGTAGTGCACTGTCACAGGTCTCTTAACCCTGCAAAGGTAATTATTGCAGTTTACCTCATGGGGAAATACTAATGTGAGCGCGGTCATTGCTGTGCATGCACATTAGGTCTCCCTCACCAGTTGACAGCGGGAGAGGAGCAAAGGCGAACCCGAGCCAGCTGCAACAGCAACAATGAGTGGGTGCAAGGGAGTTTTCCTGGCACTATAGTTTTTTTCTTTAAGTTTACCCCAATCGGAAACATGTTGGAGTAAAAAATACATCTGGCAATGGAAAAAATAGTAAAAGAGCATAGTAAAACATCTATAGGATTTTTCCAGTCATCATGTCCAAAATCCCTTGTGACATTTGAAAGACAATGCTTTAACTGATATAAGTCAAATCAAATGTTTGGGAATGTTTGACAAATCTCAGTAACAGAAAGTATTTCCTTAGGTGAAAAGTGTATAAAGTAGTGCATATTTTTTCCCTGTCTAGCCCACTCCAAAATAGAAAACCATCAGCTCTATCCTAAAAATCTGGGTTCTTTCTTAAAGAACAATCATTATTTCAGGACTATAGGTTTCCTTAGGGTTAAGTGATCACCATCCACCCGACATTACTCTGTAAAATTAAGTTAAAATACACTTACCTCATTTCCAGGGCTCCTGCAGCCTCAGCTTCTCCTCTGGTGATGTCTGCATCCAAACTGATATCACTCGCAATCTCCTAAAATTAGTCATTTTTTTTATAAAGAACCTCTTGCTTCTCATGTACAGATATGTATATGTAGAGGGGGCATGTCCGTCAGCTGATGGAGATGGCCGCCTAAATCTGTAGCTCCTCGTGGCACCCGCGATCACCGCAGCAATCAGCGAGCCCAGCTCACCCACAATCAACAGATGGGTCACACGAAGAGACAGGCAAACCCCGGCGGCACCCCTAGACCCACGGGACACAGAGGAGATCAATTCATCCAATCCTTCCTCCACGCCGCAAGCTGCGCTCAGTCACCACAGAGGGAAATGGAGGCCACAAGCCTGCCGCTCGAATACCTCTCTTCCACGCCGGCCGTATTCTCCCCGGCTCCGTCTCCCACACCGGACCCACAGCAACCACAGGAGGGTGAGTGGAGAGACATTCTACCCAATCTACTCAACAAAACTGATTTTGAAGCCCTCTCTGACAGACTGGTCCGTGAGGAGGTGGCCCAGCTGCGCGCCGATGTGGCAAGCGTAGAGGCCCGCATGGCAGTAGCGGAGATTGAAACAAGGGCACTAAGGACGGACTTGGAACTCACAAACACGACTGCCGCAAAACAAGACGCTGACATAGCCTACCTTACCACATGGGTTGACGATTTAGACAACTGCGGCCGCAGGATGAACCTGCGCATCCGTGGAGTGCGTGAAGGAGGCCATTCTGAACACATACCAGGAACATTGCGACAGATCTTTACCCAGGTACTGGGGGGCCAACACGTACCCAGAATCGGCCTGATCCGCGCACACAGGGTGCCGAGACCCATACCAGCACATGAAGAGCAACCAAGAGACATAATATGCTGTCTAGAAAACTACCACCTAAAAGAAGAAATATTACGCACGGCCAAACGCATGGAGGCGATCTGCATGGAAGGTCAGACCGTATCTATTTACCAAGACCTGTCACGCTACACCTTGCAGGCCAGGAGGGCACTGCGACTGGTGACGTCAGCGCTGCAACAAGCTAACATACCATACCGCTGGGGATACGATACCCGTTCTCGCTCACAGCCAGACATGGACAAGACCAACTGATAATACGGAAGCCAGATGATGTCCAGAGATTTCTACACACCCTGGGCCTCCCACCACAACAGGTGCCTGACTGGCTGGCAAGATCATTCCTCCAACAACCACCGGGCCCGCAACAACAACAACCACGCCGACCCAATGCAGGCCAGCAACGACCCCAGTGCCAATGTGACTGGCACCAGGGCCAAGCACAGAGGGAGCAGTAAAATAACACAGCACCGCACAGCTGAGGCAAGGACATGGGGACTCCTATACCATTAATGAGACCTAGCTGAATCGTGAGTACCACCAAAAGGGACACATACAAGAGCACCACACAAGTACGCGGGAATTGGGGTGGGGGTCGGGGGATCAAGAGCCACAGGGACACTGTACCATAACTACAGCATACCGGAGGGGACCACAACACACGAGGCACAACCAGAGACCTGACCCTTAACACATGCAAAGCCGGGAGGGCACCAGGACATTTGGGGAGGGGGACAGGGGAGGGAGATGTGGCAAAATTGCTAGTATGGGGAATGCAGGGAACATGCTGTCGCAAAGACACATTTGTTTGCAACCACGCTGAAACAAGAATAAGGACGCAATTCCTGAGGCCTCTCGGGGCCGTGTATTGATGCTGTACTTACAGATACATAGTAGGGGGAAGAGAGAGGGGAGGGTGGGGGGTTATAGGACACATGAACCGCAAGGGTAAGATGGAAAACCACGGAACAAGATGGGTAGGGGAGAGGAGAGACAAAGGAAAGCGGAAGGGGGAAAAAGGGGGGAGCACCAGGGGGAGGGGACAGCGGGGGGGGAAGGGAAACAGACAGAAAACAAGCAGCAGTACAACGACAGGGAGAGAGGAGGATGGAAGAAGGGAACCATATTAAAAGGTCGGGGGAGGAGGGAGAGAAATAAATATATACAAAGACAGTGACAACAAAAATCTGTATCTTTGTACAGCAACAAAACAACAACAACAAAAAATAATAATGATTAAAAAAAAAGTGAGGGAACAAAGGAGCAAACACAGTCAAAACCCCCAGGCGAAGGTACACGACACAGCTCAAGGTAAAGGAAGCCAGGGCACCATCTAGCCGCCAAGAAAGGCCGATGTAGGATCACACAGGCACACCAGGGACATACGACGCCCACATCTGGGGGACGAGAACCTGGAAAGGTATGCATAGGGACAGCTGTCACACAAAGCGAATAGTTAGATGTAACAATACAACAAGGATCCAGAAAGGCACGTTGTACGATATTCATAGATAAACGTGCGATGTTCGGCACACACTAGAAACCCAAACACACTAGCTCACATCAGCCTCCAGGCCGACCCAGAGCAGCGCACCAGATAAAAATCCAGGTTCTAGAGCCTGCACAGGGAAAGTATCTGATGACAACACAGCTACTGAATGAAGCTTGGTGACATAGGGGCCCTCCCCCGGACATATCACACCCCCACCACCGTCCCATACATTGCGGCAACAGGTGAAAAGCCATGGGCTAGGGAATCACGGCTACACCCAAACCAAACAAAGGAACCCCACAGGCCTGATAGGACTCACAAGGCACCCCATGCCAAAGCATCCCCACCTCATGAGACAGCTACGCACCGCTCAAGCCGGCATCAAACAAACCAATCCACACACACGAGCCGATAACGGACAAAAGAGGCGGCCCGGGCACGTACCACTGCTCCACGCACTCAGAGACCCATACTCACTACAAAAAAAAAAAGGCACGGAGTGAGCGCTCCGAGTACATAGCCACTTAGGAGATAACAGACCAAGGACTACGTATAGTACTAACAAATACACACAGACCCACTAGACGTCACGAAGTGGACAGAGCCTCCGCAGACGGAAAGCCCGACACCCCCACAAGCATAGGACACAGGAATTCCCACCTGCCAGGGAACACACAACTCCCGGAATAGACCCAGCCCTCTTATAGGCCGGGCCACACGGTCAAACACCCGGGACGACTGTCCATTATCCTACAGAACTACAGAGACCATATAGGTGTCGTAAATAGACGGAGGACATGTACCAACTCTAACCATACACACGGCAGTACAACACCACACACTCACATACTCCCCAACCATACCCCACAGCAGACTTGTCCTCCCCTGTGGCCGCCCGGAGGATGCCACACTCGGGACCAGGCGGATGTGCCAGGGAAGACCTAACCATACTCTCCTTTAAGGTACATGGTTTAAATGTCAGGGAGAAGCGCACAAGACTTTTGCGGGACCTGAAACACTACAAGGCATCAATAGCGTTTCTCCAAGAAACGTACTTTCAAGAAGGCAGAGCACCGGCACTGAAGGATCGCGATTTTAGAATGGGATACTTTAGCAACAACCCGGATAGATGCACACTGGGAGTAGGTATCCTATTTTCCAGCAGAACCCCATACACAGAACAAGCCACCGTCAGATGCAAACAGGGCAGTAGTGATGTCGCGAACATAAAATTTTCGCTTTGCGAACGGCGAACGCAAACTTCCGCAAATGTTAGCGAACGGGCGAACCACCATAGACTTCAATAGGCAGGCGAATTTTAAAACCCACAGGGACTCTTTCTGGCCACAATAGTGATGGAAAAGTTGTTTCAAGGGGACTAACACCTGGACTGTGGCATGCTGGAGGGGGATCCATGGCAAAACTCCCATGGAAAATTACATAGTTGATGCAGAGTCTGGTTTTAATCCATAAAGGGCATAAATCACCTAACATTCCTAAATTGTTTGGAATAACGTGCTTTAAAACATCAGGTATGATGTTGTATCGATCAGGTAGTGTAAGGGTTACGCCCGCTTCACAGTGACAGACCAAACTCCCCGTTTAACGCACCGCAAACAACCGCAAACAGTCCATTTGCACAACCGCAAACTCCCTATTTGCACAAGGTTGGATACCAAGCTAGCCATGTCCCGTTCCTTGTCCTCACTGATGTCATTGAAGGTCTCTTCCTCCACCCAGCCACATACAACACCAAGGGTCCCCAAAAGGTGACAACAAGCCCCCTGGGACGCCTGCTGTGTTTGGTCTTCCACCTCCTCAAAGCCACCTTCCTCCTCTGACTCCTCTTCTTCAGACTCCTCTCTCTGTGTTGCCTCTCTCTGCGTTATTATAAGGTGTGTTAAGTAGTACTATTCCTATCAGTTTAATCCCTGTTACGTCCCCTATCAGGGGACGTGTATATGGCATCGATTTTAGGAACCGGGAGATGGAAAAAGATGCTTGGTCGGTCCTCCTACTTCAAATTTGGGGCACTGCGCGTGCAATCTAATGTGCCACCAGATAGGAGTGGTGTGTTAAGTAGTACTATTCTTATCAGTTTAATCCCAATGTCACGACTACTAGTGTGGTCCAGCACGCAGAAACTATGTAAACATATACATAGGCAAGAAAAGGAAAATAAAAGGACAGAGCGTAAACCGGACCTTAGAATGGCCGGACTAATATGCTAGAGACAGAGAATGGTCAAAGGGAAAGCCAAGGTCAAGGAAGCCAGAAAATACACAATACCGTTTACACAAGCCAAGTCAGGGAAACCAGAATTCAGAATAACCAGGGAAAAGCCAAGATCAGGATACCAGGAAATCAGATTCACAATGATAAAGCACTCTCAGGAAACCAGGAACAGGAAACCACGACAGGGCAAGGTACTGGGGTGAGCTATGGATTTAAATATCACGCGACTGGCCGGCAGCCGCGACACCCTGTTATGTCCCCCTCATCAGGCCTTTTTTAGTCGAATGTATCGCCCACTGTCAGTCCCTTCGGGATCCATCCCTCATTCATCTTAATAAAGGTGAGGTAATCTAGACTTTTTTGACCTAGGCGACTTCTCTTCTCAGTGACAATACCTCCTGCTGCACTGAAGGTCCTTTCTGACAGGACACTTGAAGCAGGGCAGGCCAGAAGTTCTATCGCAAATTGGGATAGCTCAGGCCACAGGTCAAGCCTGCACACCCAGTAGTCAAGGGGTTCATCGCTCCTCAGAGTGTCGATATCTGCAGTTAAGGCGAGGTAGTCTGCTACCTGTCGGTCGAGTCGTGACCACAACTCTTCCTCTTCACGCTCATCTATGGCCTGATCCAGCACTCTTCGCAGGGCACGCTCCTGGAAGAAAACAAATGGTATGATGTCACTGATGGTGCCTTCGGAGTCAGCCACTGATCCACCTGTGTGTTCAGGGCGGACAGGAGTGCTGGTCCACTGCTTTCAGGCAAGTCAACACCAAGATGGCGTGACACTGCCGTATCCGGGATGTGGAATAGTACCTGGGGAGCTGAGGGGGTGCCGTTGATGTGGAGCAAGACACAGCAGCAGAAGAGGACTCAGCCGAGGAGGTTATGGAAGAGGATGGAGTAGGAGGAGTAGAGGAGGTGGCAGCAGGCATGCCTGCAAGTCGTGGCGGTGTCACCAACTCCTCTGCAGAGCCATGCATTCCATGCTTGGCAGCCATCAGCAGGTTTACCCAATGCACAGTGTAGGTGATATACATGCCCTGACCATGCTTTGCAGACCAGGTATCAGATGGACCCTTGCCCCAACACTGTGTGCCAGACATGCCATTACTTCCTTTTGCACAATCGAGTACAGGTTGGGGATTGCCTTTTGTGCAAAAAAATTTCGGCCGGGTACAAATTTTTTGAACGCCTCAGAGTCCACCAGCTTGTATGGTAAAAGCTGGCGGGCTAAGAGTTCAGTCAAGCCAGCTGTCAGACGCCGGGCAAGGGGGTGACTTTGTGACATTGGCTTCTTACGCTCAAACATGTCCTTGACAGACACCTGACTGTGGGCAGATGAGCAGGAACTGCTCAAGGCGAGAGACGGAGGGGCGGATGGTTGAGAGGGGGCAAGGAAGACAGCAGTGGTTAACGTGGCTGAAGATGCTGGACCAGGAGGAGGATGGCGGCTTTGAGTTTGTGTGCTGCTTGTACTCATATGTTGATCCCATAGGCGTTTGTGATGTGCAATCATGTGCCTTTGCAAA